AGGTCCCGGCTCCCGCGGCGGGCTGCCGAGGAAGGGGCGAGGGGGCGTGTTCCCCAGACAGATCCGGATCGTGTGCTGGGTCAGGGCCGCCTCTGGTGGGGTTCGTGGGAGTTGATCCTCGATGAGCCGTATTCGGACGTGGCTGTAAATCCCACCGCACTCTGAGTTCGTGGTCACAGCATTTAGGCGAGCCTCGTCCCTCCAGCCTGGGGGACTGGCCTGCGCCGATTAAGTCAGAAATTGAACAGACTTTACCGGCGTGTGTATTTCTGGCCATGTGGAGACATAGATGTGTTTCCTAATCCTGGCTGCATGTTATAAGCAACTGGAGGGCTTTAGAAAGAACTCCAATGCCCTGCCCAATCCTGGACGCACTGAACCCAAATCCAGACGGGGCCCGGACGCGATGAATTTTTAAAAACCCTCACTGAGTGTTTTTGGTGCACAGTGAGGGTTGAGAACTTACAAAGGTAACCAGCTTGGTGGAACAGGCAGTAGTGAAACCGTCCATTTGGGGGGATGAAATAGTAAAAATAGCTAAAATAGGTAACATACTGATCTGTCACTAGATGGGGGTCACTATGTGCTGGCATTGTGGCTACAGAGACGTGGATATACGTATACGTACTTGGAACATTTTACAGTTGGGCTGTTGAAGCTCGGGAGGTTAACAGTTGATCAGTGACGATCCCCGACTAGTACCCCAGGAGAGTGACTCCAGAATTCATACTTTTAATCATTGCATATGCTGCATCAGAAATATACTTTTACTTTAAGGGCCACGTGTGTGTGTGTGTGTGTGAATAGGAAGAGTTATGTCATATTTGCCTGCGGGCCAGCAAGGTTATATAATACACGTATTTTTACATGGTAAGTTTTGCTTGTGTTAAAAGGAGGAGAATCACTTGGTGAATCCGTTAAGACCTATATAGGCTCTTAGCATTTTCAAGGAGTGTTTTGTGAAGAGAAGAGAGAGGGGACCCCGGTAGTTTGAAGAGAAGAGATTCTAGGCAAGTTTTGTTTGTTTTGAGACTTGAATATATGTATAGAGTGAAGGGAAGAGTCCAGAAGATGCAAATATTTTCCAAGAATTTATATGCGCAGCCAGAGACGTCCTTTACGTTGTGCGGGGTGATACATAACAGTTTTGGCTGTCACAGGCTGTATGTGGCCGAAGGTGCAAGGCAGTGTACAGAGTAGCTGAAATTCTGCCATGAAAATTTTGGAGGAAAATAACTTCTCCTTTTGCCTGGGGTATAAAAGCGTCCCTTCTGCAAGCCCCCTTCTTGCTTTGATTTATTTCATTTGTCTCCCGGTCAGATAAATTCTTAGTGAGGATAATCCATTTGTTTTGAAAATGTGGTCTTTGGTATATTCTGTAAGGGTATTCCAAATAAAACTCACAGGAAACAGATTTTTTTTCCCCGAAAACAAAAGGGTCCAATGAAAATGTGTTTGTATTATTAAATATGTATTGCTAAATGGTGGTGTGTCACAAAGAAACGTCTTGGTATTCCTACTGATTGCTGTCTGATATTGTTAGTTATATGGCAGATATAGGCATATTACTTAGCAAGTTTTAGGGACTGGTTTTCATGTTGCTTGCAATTTTGGTGAGGAAGGTTTACAGACCTACGAAGGCAAGCCTGACAAATGTGAGTAGTGTCATGTTGGTGTCTGGCATGGACATAGCTCTCTAGCCCCATCTCCTTCTGTCTGTTCTCATTCCTAGTCCTGTTGACTACCAAAGACACTTTTCTCCAGCATCGCCAAACCACTGGTGGTTCCTTTGCACAGCTCTGCCTACGTTGCCCCTTCTGTTTCTTGGGTACCTCCTTCGGGAAATTTCCCCTGGTTTCTCAGAAAACGTTTTAAAAATACCCTCTCCGTGTCACCTCTGTGTCTGTACGTACTTGTCTCACTTCATTTATCACAACATGTCACACTGTTTTTATTTACGGGTTGGATACCCCTACTAAATTGAGCTCATCAAAGTGTTTTAACTGTGCGTCACTGGCACACAGTAGGTACTTATGTTTATTACATGGGTCCGAATTGAATTCGATTGTATTCTTTGTGTTGCTGTTTGCCTGTGTCACCTATCTTCATTCTTAGCTGTTCTCACCTCCTCTGCTGCTAGCTCCTAGGCTTAAAACGCATCCTTGCACAGAAAATACAAAATACTACCAACACATCTTCGAAAAGGAATAGGAAGTATGGGACAAAATGTATTGTTTTTCACTTATTTCCCAATTTCATTCTCAATTGGCTAGCTGGAAAATTTTCCTGGTTACTCAAGTATACTGGGAGAGAGAACTCAACATTATCCCTTTTCCACTTTAGGAAGAAAGAAATGGCCCAACGTTATTGAAGGACATACTTTGACGTTCCATAGCCAAGTCCGGCTGCTTCATCACATTTCATTACACAGTGACTTTCAGATTTAGTATTACCAGAGGTATTCATAGAGCAGCACTGTCCTGTAGAGCTTTCTGGGATGAGAGAAAAATGATTATGATGATATGTTTTTAATGACTTAGAAGTGATAGTCACTAGCCACTCGAGGCTATTGAACACTTTAAGTGTGGCTAGTGTGACATAGGAACTGAATTTTTGATTGATTTAAATATAAATCGCCCCAGGTGGCTAGGGAGTACTGTACTGGACAGTACGGTGATAGAGGATTTGTGAGCTTTTCATGTAGTTTATGTGCTCTTCCTTTTTTAGGAGCAGGGTGGAGTGATTCTGAGTAATTACGCATGTGAGTAATTATTTACAAATCAAATGGATTTGACCCCATCGTGTATAAACTAAGTGGGAGCCCCGTAAGCTAATCAATGTTTCTCTAAGATGTATTGTGAAGAACGGGCACTATACTTGTCTCAATGGTCATTGTATCCCTAGTGCCTGACACATAGTGAGTGCTCATAAGTGTCGAAGGAATGAATGTTCAAACAATTTAACCCCTCTCATTTAGGGTTATGTTGTATGTTGAAGGTATGTTGTGGAGCTGAAGAGGACAGTCAGTAGTGGTACCAGTAACTACACTGAGTTCTTCCAAGGAATGCAGTCTCTCCAGAGGAATTATTAACTCAGTGACTGATTTCTTTCTTGTAAGATATGTAGCAGGAATTCTTACTCTTATTTGATGATGGATTGAAAAATCAAGTCACAAGCAGATTTGTTGCTCAGATCATACAGAGAGTAGGAAGTGTAAATCAAACAGTAGTTGTTTCTGTTGCTTTGTGTACTTGTCCGTGATTGTTTCAGAAAAACGAAATCAGGCACTGAACTATGTTAGTTAGAAAACTTGGTTTGTAAAATCGAAGGTGATTATATATATTAATGGATTTTGAAAAGAGGACTGAAATATCTCTAGGATAGCGTGATATTGAGAAAACAGCTTGGGTTTGAGAAACAGGCATGGAAACATTTACTTCTTAAATCTCTACGTCTCAGTCTGTGGTAATCCTAACACCCAAACTGTAAACTTCTCAGCGGGGATATTTGAAACATAAATAGAAACACACGTTTAGTTGTGCAGATAACTACTACTAGACTGACATATTTACGTAAAAAGGTATGAGATACATCAAACATCTGTTTAAAATGAATGCTGTAAGGCCGAAAATTGTAGATTTCATTTAATGTGGTAGATGCTCTATTGGTGGGCTGATGACACAGCCCAATATGTGGTCCGGAACTTGTAGAAGATGATGCACAGTGTGCCCTCGGTGCTGTGCATCAGGCTTACGTACTGTGTGGCGTTGTGTGGCTGGATTACAGGCCTGTCCTCGTTCCTAGGACACAGGCTAGCTTCTTATCATTCTGCCACTCTGTGTTCCGCAAATGAAAACCAGTTTAATACTAGAGTAAGTAAAACATACATGAAAATTAAGTCTCTTGTTTAAAAAAATTCACGATGCATCCAAGATAAAATATGAAGGTTGTTTTGTTTTGTTTTGAAGGGGCATTACTTTCTCTTTTAGCAATTTCTGGCCTCTTTGTCCTTTATGATGGCTCTTCAAACACCTTTGGTGTGAACCTTTTTGGTGTGGGGTACGGGGGGAGCCCACAAACCAAAAACAAACTATCAGCCATGTGTCCCATACATAACTGCTGTTGCCCTCAAAACCAAACCAAAACAGCCATAATGAGACAAAACCCACCACTGCTATCAGTAACAAAAGTCAACTTAACCAACCAAACAAATAATGCCTGTGAGGTTTGAATTGCTGCTCTGGTGGAGAGGTCAGTAATGTGAAGTCTCTTTTTAGGTTTTAAATGTAAATTACTC